GGGGTGGGGGGGGCCATGAGGCCCCTCCTGCTCCACTCCCCCAAAACGTGGGCCGGGGCCGGGCCAGGACTGGACCCAGGATGCCGCGGCCCCGTCCCCACAAGGGGGGGGGCCGCCGCCTGGCTCCCGAGCCATCCCAGCATGCCTTGTGGCCCCCCCCAGCCCCACCCTGTAAATACCCAGGATTCCATGTGCCAAGGCTCACGCACCCCATTCCCCACCCCCAGCTTCATTACCGTCATGACCAAGGTCCTCACTCCTCCCCACCGCCCGGTTAATTTATATCAAGCGTCCTATTTATTTCTGTATTTATTAATTTATTTGTGGCAGGTTGAGGAATGGAGCCCCCCCAGCAGTTAGTTCACTGTCCCCTTTAAGGGCCTAAAACAAGGGCAGGAGGGAAATTGTTTTAGAGCATGCCCCTTTAAGGGGGGTTAAAAAAAATGCTTCCAGGCTATAAAAATAATGCAGGAGGATGTTTATTCCGGGTCCTCGAAGAGCATAGGCTTTTGGGAAGGGATCCCTTTAAGGAATTTTAAATAAAAATGGGAGGGGATTTACTCCCCAGAGCATCCCTTTAAGGTCCATTGCTTGGCTTGAGTGCAAGGGGGGCTTTTATTTTGGAACATCCCTTTAAGATTTAAAGCAACATGGGGGAGGGATGGCTCTAAGTAATCTGGGGGACACTAAAGCAGGCCTTTAAGGGCTTGGTAAGGGGAACTGTGGTGAAGGGAGGAGCCCTCATCCCTTTAAGATCACAGCGATTCCTTTAAGAGTGCCATTACCTTTAAGAAATGGAGTGTAGGAGGGCAAATATTCCTGTGCCATTCTTCGGAGGGATCCCCCCAGAAGGGGGAAAGGGAAGGGGGGGGGGGGGGGAAGAGGTGTCCTACAGGCCCCGCCCCCCCGCGGGGGAGTCCGAGCCCCACTTCCGGCCCGTTGGAGCAATAACAATAAACGAGGGAATCGCCTTTGTACAAGCCCACGGCTCCGCCTCTGCCTGGGGGAGAGGGCGGAGCCTAAGGAGGCACCGCCCCTCCGGGTCATGAAGGGAAGCCCCGCCCAGCACTCCAGCACCACTCTGGGCTCCGCCCCTTTGCCCCTTCCCCCAGTAGGCCACGCCCCTGGCAGTCTCCCTACCAGGCCCCGCCCCTGCTAGGGCCTCCCCTTAGACCCTCCCCACTAGGCGCCGCCTTCGAGAACGTCCCGTTAGGCCCCGCCCCCTTTGCCCCGCCCCCCTAGACCCCGCCTCTTAGCTCCACCCGCTTTAGACCTGCGAGGCCCCACCCTCTTTGCTCCCTGCCCAGTTGGGGTGGCCACGCCTAAGGCCCACCCCTTTATGCACGCACCAAGCTCCGCCCCCATTTACCATGCCCCTTGGCTTCGCCTTGTAGCCCCGCCCCTCCAGCACGCCGAACGGGGTGGGGCCTGCCGTCGGGCGCATGCGCAGTGAAAAGCTGCGGACATGGTAATGCGTATGCGTGCTGGTTCATGGAGCGGGAAGGGGGGGAGGAAATTGATAAAGTGCGCATGAGCAGCCGCATCCCAGGAGGGAGGTGGTATGCAAGGGCTGCAGCTGCGCAGTGGAAGCGAGGCGCCGGCGCGTATGTTCTTCAAAGAGCTGTTGCGGCAAAGCAGAGCGCATGCGCTCTGGAGACGGGACGAAGGCTTCTGCGCATGTGCCTCGGGGCGCCGGTGCCAGAGGGGCTTCAGGGCTCGCCTTGTTGCGCATGCGCACTGATGGGCCACGGTCGCGCTCTAGAGGCGAGCGCATGCGCAGCCTAGTGATCCGAGCGGGAACGCATGTGCAGAGGCGCCTGGACGGCTGGAGGGGGCAAAAAGGCGTCAAAATGGCGACCAGTCAGCTTGGGGCCTGGGCCTGGGCCTGATTGCGATTCCTTCTGCTCTGCCTTCGCCTGCTGCAGCCTGAGTACGGACCTGGAGCTGCCCCCGGGGTCAGTCAGGCTGGGGCCCATCTGGCGGCTTGTGCACGTCTCCAGAACAGCCGGCACGGTTGCGCCCGCCAGAACACCCGCCACGTTGGCGTGACCCACTGCGCTCAATGCCAGACCTGGCCTAGCCCTGCAAGATGGCTGCTGCCATGGCATGACCTGCTGCGGGCAGTGCCCAGCCTGGCCTATCTCCCCAAGACAGCCACTGCTTTGGCGTGACAGCCGGGGTCACAGCTGGCCCTTGCGTGGCCGCATGACATGGCTGCCGTGTGGCCTGGCTCATCTTTGCTGACCGCCCAGCCTGGTCTAGGTCCCCAAGGTGGCCGTCATACCGGCATGAACTCTTTTGGGGCGCTGCCCGTGCTGCCTCAAGGTGGCGCAACCTGCCATTGTGTTCCAAGATGGCCGCCCCGTTGACCTGAAGCCCCCCTCCCCCTGCAGGCAGCCATGGAGTCCGTGGTGACGGAGGAAGAAGGGGAAGTGACCTCGGGGATGCAGCTGCTGGCCGTGGAGGATCCTGCAGGCCCCGAGGAGGCGCCGGCCGGGGCAGAGGAGGAGCTGCAGGGGCAGCAGGAAGAGACGGTGGCAGGCGGGGAGGAAGACTGGTGCGTGGGCTGTAGTGACGAGGAGGTGGAGGCCCCCGAGGCCTGGATGCCACCACCTACTGAGATCCGGCGCCTGTATGAGCTCATCGCGGCGCAGGGCAGCCTGGAGCTGCAGGCCGAGAGCCTGCCCCGCCGTGCCCCCACGCCCGAGCCCGACAGCGAGGAGGACGAGCGCTCAGATGGGCCCCCGGCCAGCGAGGAAGAGGAGGAGGAGAAGTGAGCACTTGGCCTGAGTGAAGGGATGCGGGTCAGGAGTGAGGGGCACTGCTGGAGGCCAAGGGGCTTTGGGGGGCTGAAGGGCAGGGCTGAGGGGTCCCATGGGGCTCTGGGGGTTCCCTCATTTCTGCCACCCCTCCAGTGACAACCTCTCTGCCCCCAGGCCCCACGTCCCGACTGAGTTTGACTTTGACGATGAGCCTGCCTCACCCAAGAGCGCCCTCATCGACCGTCGCAGAGCACCAGGTAAGCCCATGGGTGGACCCTGGCAGCCAGGCCTGGCAGGGGTAGGGGTGTGCAGGCGACCCTAGGGCTGACGCATGCACTTGACGCAGGCGCACGCAGCCAGAAGCGGGAGGCGCGGCTGGATAAGGTGCTGTCAGACATGCAGCGCCACAAGCAGCTGGAGGAGCAGATCCTGCGCACCGGGCACGACCTCTTCCAGCTGGACAGCGGTGATGAGCCTATGCCCAAGCGCCCATCTGGGCTCTTCCTGCGCCAGCGCAAGTACTGACCCCTTTGCAGGGCCCTGCCGCTGCAGGAACCTCAAAGCCCGGGTGTGATAAGGTGACAGATGAGAGGAGCAATGAACACCTGGCCCAGCCAATGGTAGCAGGGACCAACGGCTGGGGGGGATGAAGTGGGACCAGCTCCTGGAGTGACGGACAGCTGGCCCAGCTCATGGGAGCCCGAGGAGAGGTTGGAGGGGAGTTGAAGTTGCTTGATTATGGTACAGGGGCCACTCCCATCCTGGCTAAGAGCCTGGCCACCCAGGGAAGCCCCAATAAAGTGTCTGCTGCCCCATCCCATTGCCTCCCTGCTCATCCCTACTCACAGCTTGGGGGGGGGGCGGGGGGTGTCTAATGCAGCCAGGAGGTTATTTAATCCAGGCACCTCCCCATTTTGGAAAAAGACATTACATTTCCTCTCCCCAAACACTCGCCCTCCCCTTTACAAATTAAAACAAATATTTTTATGCTTCTGGGCCACTTAAATAAAATCTCTTTAAGAGCCAATGACTAAAAAGCAGGAGAATGATTATTCTAATCCCCTTTCTCTTAAATTTGCCCATCCCCTTTTCCAGCTGGAGGCATGCCTGCCCCTTTAAACTCCTTACAGGGATTTTTCCCAGGTCCTTAAAGGGATGATTCTAGAATAAAAGCCTATTTGATTAGAAGCAGCTCTTAAAGGTGCAGCCCCCTAAAAGGAAGGAGAAATTGGGGCAGCGGCAGTAACAAAACATGCTTTATTTGGAAATGTACAAAACGGGGGTGGGGAGAGGATAGAAGCAGCAAGGGGAAGGGGTGGGGCCTGGCCAAACCCCGTCCCATCACTCGCTGTCGTCCTCGTCGCTGCTGATGATGCCGCGGAGCTGGGACCAGTCAGGGCGGGCGCGGGGGGGGCTGGGCGCCGGCGGGGTGCTGGGCGCTGCGTACAAGCTCCATACATTGCGGCGGCGTGGGCGGCCTGCGCAGGGAGGGCAGAGGTCAGAGCACAAGGGAACCCAGGCATCCAGCCCCTGCCCCCTGCTCAGTCGCTGTACGCACCGTGGGAGGGAATGATGTTGCCCAAGTCCAGCGCGGCCACCTCAGCCTCCTGCTCGCGGCGCAGGCGCACCTCCTGGCATCGCTGCAATGACGGGCGCCCTGCAGGGTGGGGAGGAAGGGGGTTGAGTGGGGCCGTGGGGGCATCCCCAGCCCTGGCCCCCACCGTCACTCACCATCCAGGCCGAGCGCAGCCAGCTCCTGGTGGAGCACAGCCACGCGCTCCCGCCGGCTCCGGCACCCGCCCAGCAGCTTGCGATAGTTGGGCCGCACGCCACAGACCCGCAGGTACCGCTTCAAGCGCCGCACCTCTGGGGCGTCCCCTGGCTCCTGCTTTCCCGTCCGCAGCCGGCCCTGTGTGTACGCACTGGTCAGCCAGATAGCGGGCCCCCTGCCGCCCTGCTGTGCCCCATCCAGCCCCGAACACCCGGGTCCCCTGCTGCTTTACTGGCCCAGAGCTCTCAGTGCCCCACCCCCCAGACACCTGGGCCCCGTACTCACCTTCTGCTTCTTGCCCCCGGCCGCGCTGTGGGAGCGGGTGTTCTCCTGCGGGCGGGTGTTCTCGTCGGAGGAGGAAGAGGAGGAGTCTTCGGCACTCGCCTCCCGCTCCTTGCCCCCTGTCCCGGCCTCCCCCTCTGGCACGGACCCCTCTGGGCTGTCAGTGCTGTTGGCCTTCATCTTTTTGGCATCCCTGGCCCTTGGCTTCTTGTCCTCCGGGCTCCCCGTGTGCCTGGGACTCAGCTTCTTGGCCTCTGGGCTCTCGAGGTCCTCAGCTCTCAGTTTCTTGGTCTCTGGGCTCTTGGCCTCCCTGTCCGAGTCGTCGCTGTTGGAGCTGGACTCTGGGGGAGGCAAGGGGCTGGGGCTGGCGCTGCTCTCGCGCTCGGCGGCAGCTCTGGGCTTCTCGGCCTGCACAGACAGGTTGGGGTTGGTGCGGGCGGGACCCGTGGCGTGGGGCACGGGGTGGGGATGTGACATGGGGGGGTCCTCACCTGCGTGTGCAGCTCGGCCTCCACCAGGCGCCGCAGCAACCGCTTCTCGCCCGGCATCAGGCTCCCGCGCCCCGACTGCGCCACGAACCGGCGCCGCACGGCCCCCGGTGTCAGCGTGCTGCGGGGGTGTCAGCATGGGCGCGGGTCTCAGCCAGCTCCCACCGTCCTGCGTGCCCCAGCTAGCCCAGCTCCCACAATACTTTCCTGCTCCCTACAACCCCGCCATAGAACCCAGGCGGGCCAGACCCCACAATCCTCTACTCCCCAATGAACCCACTAGCTCAGCTCCCACAATCCTTTGCTGCCCCCTACAACCCCACCATAGAACCCAGGCGGGCCAGCTCCCACAATCCTTTGCTCCCCCCCGCGGCCTCCAGGTGTCCTCAGTCCCACAATTTTCTGCTCCCCACAATGGACCCAGGGGCCCTGCCTCCCAGAATCCTTTGCGCTGCCACCCTGGTCTCCCAGAGAACCCAAGTGCCCCGGCTCCCAGAATGCTTTGCCCCCGCCCCTTACCTGGGGTCGCGGCTGTCTTGGAAGAGCCGCCGCGTGAATTCGCGCAGCTCCTGCTCCCGCTCCGCCGCCATCGCTGCGCCCGCCGGCCGCCGTAGCCCGCCAAACGCCGCCGCGGGGGCCGACGGGACACGTAGTCCCGGCACCCAGCAAACCGACGAGAAGCCGCGGGGGCTCACGGGACACGTAGTCCGCGGAAAGGGCGGGCCAATGGGAAGCCGGGAGCGGTCGGAGCGTCACGCGCCGCGTTGTTTCGGAAACGAGCGGGCCAATAGGCGGGGGCGCGGGGGGTGGGGG